AAGATATATATATATATATATATATATATATACAACACCTTTATTTTAAACTCAAGCCAAAAATTTAATAACAGCAATATCTTTTTACACATATAACTTTCATATTATGAGGCCACTAGTATTAGTAAACTTTTATTATATGTGAGTAAATACGTAGAGAAATACTCAGAAATGCACACAATTACTTTTAACAACTTCAGCCGTGACTTAAATAGAATTTCTCCGAAAAATAATCTTAAAGTTAGTTTTCAACTTAAAAATACAAACTAAACCGAAAAAATTCATAATTTTTTTTTTTTTTTAGACAAATGTACACAACGCAATAACTTAGCTTAGCCACGCACGTATATATGTATGTATATTCATTTATACAATATACAGACAAATTGTTTGCGTTTAAAGATAAAAAAAAAAAAAAGCTAAAATTATTTTCTTGGAATTAAAATTGCAAATTATACATTTTGAACAAACACTCTTTTCGACACTTTAGTAGGAATTTCATAAGCAATGAAACAACGAACGTACGCAGATTGAAATACAATTTTAAACAAGAATATATATATATATATATATATATGTATTTATATGTATATAAGAAAAGCAACAGAAAACCCTTATTAATAATTCTCTGCAAAAACCGGGTAAAGGACAGGACCCTCACACTGAAAAGAAGCACATGGCACAGCTTTCATGTGTACTGCAAACAAATTTCGATTCTATGGAAAAGTAAAATGAAAAAAAAAAAAACGAAAACGAAAAAGTAAAAGAAACTAAACCAAAATTCTTTGTATACATATATATATATATATGAATAAAAGGTAAAGCGAATAATATGAAAGAGAAATGTAAAGAAAATATGTGACTCAAAACAAGTTCTTACCACAATGTGTCCTTTGTATATGAAAGTACGCATAGCTGCCGCCTATTGCAGTTGAGTCGGAGCAGATTTCTGCGAATCTCCACAGAGAGCGCAAACAGTGCAGTCGCCGGATATTTCGTACGAAATATTTCTCCTTCACTGTATATTGTATTGAACAGTTGACTGACTAATTTAACTAGATTCTGCTCTATGCACATTTCGCGGAATTTTAATAACGTTGGCCAAGCTACGAAATATTATCATACTGGATATCACTACCTATTCTATGTGCGTATATTAACATCGTGCGGATGTTTGCAATTTTGAAATAAATTCGGTTCTGCAATTTTACCAAAACTATTCCAATACGATTGAAGTTTTTCTCTTCGTGCATTGCTCAAATATATATTTGCCCTCAAGCTACATCTAAGTTGCAGTTTTTGACATATTGTGATAACATTTGTCACAACGGGCGTTTTGGTGAAAGAGCGGACCCATTTTTACAAAGGCATTGAGTCGTAGCGTTTTTACACTCGCTATCCGTATTCATGTGAGAAAGTTGTTATATGAAGAAGAAATTTGCAACATATCTCGATAACTAAAAATTTTGAAATTACTGAAGAGGAGAATTTTAGCATAGCTTTGCATGGAATGGACAACGCTTTGAACTTCTTCACAAGCGAACAGTCTTATGGAAACCAATTTTTTAGTAAAGCGCTTAACTTGTAGTATTTTGTAGTGAAAATTTATTATATCTCGTATATATATATATATATTTACCGCACTAAATCCAGACCGCTTAGGTCTATTCTTTGGACTCCACGCCGTACATTGACTTTCATAAAAAGGAAGTCTCTAGATGCAAAAAAGGTATAATTTTTACTACCTTACAACGAAAATAGGAGCACACCTAATATTACCTTAATTATTATATATTTTTGAAATACAGAATATATGCGAAACTTTGCTTTAACAGGTTTGCATATATATGTGGATTTTTCATTCACTTCACCACACAGTTAGGTAGAACGTTCACTTTACTTTTTTTCAATCGTTTCTCTATAAGTAATGAAATCTAAAATGTTTTCTGCTTCTTCTTCTTAAAATCCATGATGATGATGATGATGATGATTCACTACGCAAAGGGGAAAAGGTTCAGTGCGAATACGAAGCTGCCAGAGAATTCATGTTTTATTAATTTGCGTACACGTCACTTGGACACTTGGAGTACAGGGAAATATTAAGGTTGCGCGGACGGTTCTAAAACCCAGAAAGGCTTCAAACAGACCCATATTTTATTATGCTTGTCTGTCCGCCTGTCCATCTAATGTCTGCTCAGGTGCTTTGTGATCAATTGGTACACTGGCATGGTTTGACTCAAGAACGAACGCTATTGAAAATTATTTGTATCGGACAATTGTTTTGACCGCTACCCATATAATATAAAATATAATATACATAATATAATGTCGCCATAAGGAAAACTAACGAAATTTTAATAATTTCGCGATAAAAATCGCTTAGCAATTTAAATTAGGTTGAAAACTTTCGATAGGATGGGCCAATTTTTCGAACCCCTTACTACCTGACTCTTTATTTGGTAAAAAGATCTAAATTTCAATAATTTTGATGAAAATAGTAATAATAATTTGAAGTACAAACTTAATTCAATCAAAAGCCAGTCCATTTTTTCAATCCCAAACCAATATAAAGGTTTCAATGTAAAATAAGGCCGTATAAGCCATAACAATCTAACTTTTAATATTTTGTGGTAAGAATTTGTCCTAAGCAAATCACCCATAGGTAATTTGTATGAAATAGATATAGGTTTTAGACCGCGCCGCATGTACAGTTACTCGAACCAGCTGGAATAAAATAACACCTTTGAGGAATAAATTAAATTTGCTAAATTTAGACCATATTAACATTTGAGCACCCTACAATATGAAGGCTTTCATAAAACTAATGTATAACTTTTTATCTATTATTAATTAAGCGAAATAGTGTAGGGTACGTAATAGTCCCGACTACAGCATTCTTACTTGTTTTGTAAATAATACACTATCGCTGTAATAAAAGGTAGGACAGGGACAGGGATAACTCACGACCTTTTGTATACAGCCGTGTAAACTTAATATGTACTGTACCGTTAAGTGATGTAGAGTATAATAATAGTTTTTTTTTTTTTTTTTTTCTCGGTTTGCATCAAAATTTTTGATGAAATTTTAATTTTTTTCCAAAATTACTTTTAAAATTTTCTTCACTCGACTCTATGAATTTTTGAAACCAAAATCTACGAAATATTTTATGGATATTCTCGTTAAGAATGCTTAAGGATTACGAATAATAATAATAATAGCCGTGTTGATGAACATGAAGGTTCTTAAAAATGCATAAAGAGAGGAAATTATTACAATTTTCTTTGAATTTAATAATAAGCGTAAATGCCAAATAAACATTTTTCTATTATGATTTTCACGAAATTAATTTATTGTCTGTTGTTGGAAAGAAGAAAATAAAATAATGTTCAATTATATTTCTAGGAATCATTTATGCCGCAGTTGCTTGTTTACGTTCTTTAAAGTTGTTAATGGCCTTTTGTTGCTGTTGTTTTCATTTTACTTTCCGTTCAAATTTATGCACCGACGCAATTCAATCGACGCTGAAACACGTTCGTTATATATATATATATTTAATTCCTGGAATACAGATAGATGTGTACATTTTTTTTTATATCTTTTATACGTACATATATATATATGTATATTTTGTTATATAATTTAATCGCAGCGCTTTCAACCTCCAGAACTGTCCTTTAGAGATACTTTACAGATCGAAGTCATATTGTGTGTATATAAGATTTGGATACGCAAAGAACGATAACTGCCATATCCATGCGTCTCTGTGATGTTGGTGCTCTCCAAGCTTATTTAATTCGAATTAGAAACACGTGCAATAGACGAAGCCTGCCAATGAGTACAAAACGAAAACACTTACAATCGCTGAGAAGTAGGGAAATCATATTCGGTCCGGACTGACTCTTCTATACCCACTACCGCTATCCTAAAAGAACTAAAGAATAGGAAAAAACTGAATTTTCACAATATATAATATTGGATGGGCGTGGCTGATTTTTTCCCTTTTTTTGGAATAAATATGAAAATTTATATCATGTATCGGTTACAGTTTATGAATAGTGACCCAAAAACACGAATAGAAAAAGTATTCTCGATTTTTGTTGCATAGACTTGTGGACGTTATAGGGACATGTTCAAGTTCTTTTGAAAATTCGTTAGCAATATTTTCATTTTTTCAAAGACAGAAGGTTCATCGCAAATACTAGCCAGCCGGGCGAAAGGACAAACGTGCAACATTATACAGGTTTTGATAACAGAAAATTAACTTTTGATACACTGTACTATTGGGCAGGCATGGCCGATTTGCAAACCGCGAATACCTAACATTTTATTTCATAATCTTTTGTCACTTTGCTATACCGTCATGTCTGTGAAACTTTTGCAGGCTCTAGCCTGACCCAAGGAATCATTACAGTTCGCTTGCAGAAAGCTGACAAAGTCTGCTCAGAACTTTACAACTAAGCTATTTTGGGCTTGTCCTGCTGCCTTCTCTATTTGACCAACTCTGAACGATTATTTGCCTTAATTGCTCGCTTTAATCGCTTTAGCTTTTGAGAGTAGGGAATAGAATCGCACAATCGCTGCGAGTGTTGCCGCCGTCGGCGCAGCTTTGATTTTACTAAATGAAATGATTTAAATTGACTTATTCATCTCTACTCAACAAACCCAAAAAAAAAAAAAAAAAAAAAAAAAAAAAATTGACTTATGAGTTACTTTAAGAGCAATTGTAATGCTTAATATATATATATAAATGAAAGATCATTGGATATGAAATGTGTTCAATCTGCTCGCATCGTTGATTTCGTCCAGTAAGAGTGACTGCAAGCAAATTATGCTGAAATACCTAATTCATGTAATGAATTTACGTTTAACGAAAGTCACTTTTAAATCATTATAAATGTACAAATATATATATATATATATATAAAAAAAAAGGTGCTTACAAAAACGAATCAATTTTTTTATTTTCAGAAAAAACGTGCAGCAAATGAAGAACAGAAAAAAAAGTCTACATATCCATAAATAAATACAAATTGTAAAATAGAAGATAGAGAGGAAGAAAAAGAAAACGAAAAACAAACGTGTCCCACATTGCAATAAGTTAACTTCCGATGGGGCACCGCTTTAGTAAGACTGCTGCTAATGCCGCTGCTACAACAACATCAACAACAAAAGCAAATCATATAGCTACAACGTTAACACCCTCAAGCAGTGCAATACCTAATATATTAACGGAAACATTACAACCGCAACATCAAATAACGCACACGAGTAGAATACCAATACCGGCGCATAACGGTAATCATTTAATAGGGCCTACAATAAATTTACAAATACAAGACAGTCCAACGGGTGTACAAAACCAGCGGCAACAAGTTACAGCCAGTTATAATTCTTTAACGGGAAGAGCAACAACGACGGATATTCTACAGCAATCAAGCAACAGCGGCAGCTTAACATCGATTAATAATTTATCGTGTAGTCGTCAGATAATCATTAAAATTCAATTGGCCAAAATGGAGAACGGAAACGATCAACCAACAACAACGACAACAACAACAACAACAACCTGTTTATCAGTACCACAAGGTACAAGTGTATCATCATTAGAAACACTGGTAACTGATGCCAATTGCAATAATTTGGAAACGGCCACAGCTGCAACGGCGACGAGTGCTCAAATATTAAATGTTACTTTTAATCGTAATTCCTCGCCTCAGTCAGTGACCGCACTGACTACTGCAAAAAGCACTGGCAATTCAACGAGTCATACGCTGACCCATGCCACCATACCAGCTAGTTCAAATAACAATTACACATTAACAACATGCGGCGCTAATGGAGATACTTTAATAGCAAATGAATCATGTTCAGCTGAATGGTTAGCTCATTTGAATAACATCAATTTTAATGATAATTTGTTAAAAGGGAATACAATGGGATATTATGGAGAAGGATCTCCCCATACAGTGAACAGTGAAGGTAAGTTAAAATTTGAAAAAAATATATATATATATATATTTTTTTTTTTTTTTTGGAAATTATTTTCTTGAAGAATTTGCTTCTCAATGGAAATTATTTATATTTTGTAGAAGTCGGTAGCGAAGCAACATGCAATACAAATAATGCGTTGTTAGCATCCACAAAAACAGCAACAGAAGCATTGACAAAGCGTAGATGTCGTAAATGTAGTTGTCGTGATGCATTCAGGCGCATTTTGGATCCCACTTCATCACGAACAACTAATAAATCATCAAAACAAACACGGCACACACAGGAACAAAAACGTAAAGAGAATCTGCAACAACAAGCACAACAAAACCATTCCAAATGCACTATCATCAACACCAAAAGCAATACGAATAGCATTAGCAATAATAATAATAGTTCCCCACACAGCAGCAGCAGCAGCAGCAGCAGCAGCAATACTAAAAATAGCACAACAAGCACATCATGTGCGTTGTTGACGACCACAACGGCGACTAATACGAATCATTCCATAACGCCATCAACAGTTGTTGCTTCAATATCACAACTACCAATGCAAGCTGAGCCCCCTGCCACTGCAAATAGCAATGCTAGTAGTGGTGGCATCAATAAAACGGCAACCAATCAATTATCAATATGGTCCCCCAGCAGCACCGGCACTGGCAATGGCGGTGATGTTTTTATACCGATTTCAACACCGCAATTTGTCGTGGTACAGTGTGCGATTGTGAACGCGACCACGGCTACTGCAACACAAGACACGACAAATACGTTAACGAGAGCTGCAATTGTTAATGCAAATGAAAATACTGCAAGCCCTTCCATGAATTCTACCGAAACGACGGCAGCTTTAGTTTCATTGCGGAATGCAAATGTAACTATGTCAACATCTAACGGCCCGATAGTGCATTCTCAAGTGGATTTTTGTCATTATTTGGTACCAGATTTGGTGCGCATAACAAATTCCAGTTTTTATTGGGGTAAAATGGATAGATACGAAGCCGAACGTTTACTAGAGGGCAAACCGGAAGGTACATTTCTTTTACGTGATTCAGCTCAGGAAGAATTTTTATTTTCGGTCACCTTTCGGAAATATGGACGTTCGCTGCACGCTCGCATAGAGCAAAGTGGTCATCGGTTCAGGTATTGAGCATCATCGTATTTTTCATATATATATATATATATATATATATATATGTAACCTATTGTTATTGTTATTTACAGTTTTGATTGCCATGATCCTGGTGTGTTTACAGCTGCCACTGTTACAGGCCTCTTGGAACATTACAAAGATCCGGCATGTGTTATGTTTTTTGAACCTATGCTTACTATACCGTTACATCGCCGAACATGTTTCTCGTTACAACAACTATGTCGTGCCACAATTGTCTCGCATACAACGTATGATGGTATAAATGAATTAGAGTTGCCGGCACGTCTTAAATCGTATCTCAAAGAATATCATTACAAGCAAAAACTAAGAGTTAAACCATTTGATGAGCCTTTCTATGCGGCCTGTGCCTAGTGTCCACTTCAAACGCCAGGCACTGGCCGATCGCGTTTCAAATATCATCAGTATCATGCGATCATGGAAAATGCACGAGCAACAACGGGTGTATTGGCGAGGCCATCAACTTTATCGGAGGATAAGCTTTCCGATTTGGATGAATTGAGCGATTTACATCAAGCTAGCGCTGTTTTAACTTACGTACAGCACTCGACATTGTATGGTAATCGAAATCGAAATCGAAATCGAAATCGAAATCAAAATTTGGAAAATAATTCAATTGTTAATAGCACGCATAAAGCCTTGCGTGAACATTTAACTAATTTACCGCAACGTATGTTTAATATGTTAACGCGTATGTCAAATAATTTGAATTGCTATCATCCTCCTCCGAGTGCTGACACGGCCCTAGATAATGATTCGAACGCTTCTCCGAGAGCATCCAATAGTTTTTAAACACGAATAGATTATAAATTTATTTATTATTAGCTGATATACATACAGACAGACAATCTCCAGTGAATTAAAATTAGTAAAAAAAAAAAAAATGAAAAAAACACAAACACCAAAATCAAACAAACGAATTCAAAATGAATTCTAAATTGTGTATTATCAAAATATTATGGATGTTAACGCTAGATACGCTAATAGAAAATAAATATTAATTAAACTAACGTACAGAACTACATATAAATCTATCCATTTGTTATATGTATGTGCATATATTATTGGCATACTTATGAAAACATTGCTGAAGACTTTATTATTTAATTTATTTATAATACAAATTTTTAGTTATTGTTGATTAATAAAAACAAGTTATTATATTCGGACTTTTCCTTATTTAAAAGTATTTATTTATATAAGAATGCATTTATTTATTTTCAATTTTCAATTTTTTTTTTTTTTTTTGTTTTTTTTTTTTCTCACAATTGTATTTATTTAGAACTTTGTCTGTTTCGTTTTAATCGTAAGATCGTTTATGTTCTTTTTTTTCTAATTTATTTTTACATATCCTTTTTTGCTTATAAACTATTATCTTATATGAATTGTAAATAAAATAAAAAATATTTACATTTGTTTTTGTTACCGCATATTCATTTCATTCATTTTTCATTAAATATTTATTAACATACACGATCCAATATAATACAATTCTCTTGTATTAATGTTTTCCTATACACATACATATCCTTTAATCCAAAACATGTCATGTATTATTTTTAAATTTTAATTTTAAACTTGAACAATTATAAAGTGTATAGTGTATCTCTCGGTCTCTTTGGGGCCATCATTTCAATTATGTTTTATTATTTTAATTACGTAACGTATATAACGTTGACAAACACAAGCGCAAAGAGAAAACATGTTAAAATTGACTGATGACAATCTCTTTTGATATTCACATTTTTTTAATTCCAAATTAAGAAAATTTTCAAACTAAAAGTAAACGACTTTTGCTATACGGCTTGGTCACCTCTCCCACTACTATATATGTCGATGTATGTGTAAGTAAAACTCAACAATTGTATATATAAAAAGAAACTATATTTCTATAGTTTTGAATAAATCAAATGATCAGAAAACAAAAATCAAGAACAACAACAATAATAATAAAGAAAGTATTAATTAAATTAAAACTGTCCAGGTTTTTTTCAATTTTGTGCGCTTATGTAGGTGTGTACTAAATTGTATTCATTTATATCATCTAATGGGGATCATGTGAAAAGAAGTTTCAAATTGAAATTTTAGAAAAGCACGTAAGACCGTAATCAATACGTAAGGAGACGAGGAAAGACGACTATGGAGAGAAGGAGGTATGAAATGCCGGATCACTGCATTAGAAATCTTACAATATTGTATTCCCAATTGAAAAAGAAGGCTCTCCATTTACAATCTTTTTTATTTTCTTTATTTTGTTTTATGACGAATATGAAAGCGAACGAAGTTATTTGAGGATGGTCAGAAACTTTACCACCAAAAAAAAACTTCTTTTGGTAACATTTCATCAATTAGTAAAATGTTGCTAAGGAAACAGAGTACACGTATGTGTAGGATTTCTAGTCTCGTTTTAAGGCGGTAAAAATACTAATAAGATAACAGTGTATATAAATATGTTTAGAGGTGTAAAAGCTTGTAATTATTAGAATATATAATTCATTATACCTATTTTTTAATCGTAGGAAGCCATGGACATTTTATTAGTAGGCTCTACTCTTAACTCTCAGCTTGTTGATAGATTGCAGCAGCTGCGACGTGGGGCCATCAACCTCCGTCGAGGCAGCAGAGCGGAGGTTAAGAAAACGGCGTCATGAAGTCCACCTCCAACCAGTGAACGAGCATGTACTCCAGGGGGAACATGTAGTGCACGAGGCAGTGCACGTAATCGTTGATATACGCTTTCCATGAAATCAAAATTAAAGATAATACACCTTGAGCAGCGGGAGGAAGAGTTTTGTCCAATCCTTTCAACAAACAAAAAGACTTGTGTGGATATAAAAAGCGGACAGCCCGCCAGCATGAAGAGGGAGGAAGTCTGAGACAAGAGTCGCAAACGAATCTGACTACTATCGCTTTGCCTGTAAGTGAAAAAGCTAAAGCGAAAACTCATGGTCAGAAAGAAGTGCGAAAACAACACGAGGTAAAAAGTGGAGGCAGCTCATTGAGTAAGTATGCCCAATCGGTAGTTGATATGCCTTAAGTAACTCAGCGGTCATTTAAGCTAAAACTAAGCCTGTTTAAACCGCACTGAGATTTGAGCCGGCGAGCAAAGATTTTGGCCATCTTAGCGTAAAAAATGGATTTAAAACTTATTCATATAAAAAGATGTCTTAACGTTTTTTTTTAAATGAAAGTTCTTGAACGAACCATAGATTGCTTGCATACATACAAAGCAAGCAATAATAATTCCATCAAGCATATCGTTAAACAAGACAAATGATAAGTTTGCCAATTCCCTTTGGTTTCTAAGCTTGAAAGCCGTTAGGGAAGTAATGCTTCCTAACTTCCATTAAAACTATTAAAGAAACGACAGATAAAATAAATGGACTGCAGGCAGTAAATGCTTCTCCAAGAGAAAGCCAACATGTCTAGCTCTAAAAACAATTTCTTCTCAGCAGACGTCGCTCTATGTTTGCAGCGCTTCAAAAAAGTTAGATTCTAAAAGATTCTGAAAAGCCTTTCCTGTTGCTGTATATTAATTTATATAATTTAGATTTAAATATAAATAGCTTTATTTATATAATAGCTTTATTAATACATTTAAAAATATATATAAAAGAAATTATTATTCTTTTTAATGGTTTGCTGATTGTTTCCGATTCTCTTTCCTTGACTTGGTCGCTTTTGCTCTTCCATCATCTCCTCTTCTATCATCATCTCTAGATGTATATAAAGTGTTTTGGAAAATACGCGAACTTATTTAATTTTACAAGTTATCAACTCAATGTCGTGGGTTCAAATCTCAAGTGCGGTAGAGTTTTTTTTTTTGCTAGCGCTTTAAGAGAAAAAAATTTATGCTCCGGCTAAATTTATAATAATAACAATAATAATAATAATTTTACAAGTTAGCTTAGAATTAAACCATGATAATTTTTAAACAAAGTCCTCGCTAAATTCCCTGTTGAAAGGCAAAGCACAGAGTCGCTTATAATAAATAAATGGTTAAAGCTCAACTTAACCGACAAAAGGGGGTTCAATTCTGTTAAATAACACACCAAAAAAAGCACAAAGCCGTCGGCAAAACACAAATTTTTAAATGCAAACCCGTCAATTTTTCATGCCACATTGATAAATTGTCAAAATTGGCTAACTAGTCTTTCTTTAAAAATCGTTTTTCTCTTTTCTTTTTCTCCTCTAGATGTTTTGGAAAATACGGGAGCTAAATTTCTTTAATTTTACAAGTTAGCCTAAACGAAGAGCGCCATAATTTTTAAATTAAAAGGCAAAGCACAAAGTTGCTTGTAATAAATAGCAAAAGGCAAAAAATGGCAACTCTGTTGAATAGTTAAATGCCCAACTAACAACTTAAATGGTAACGCCATTCAGCTCAGCAAATTAGCAGACTGAACAAAAGTCCAACTCTGTTAAATGCAAAGCCGTCGGCAAAACAAAGGATAAATCAAAACAATATGAAACTATTTTTTATCTTTTATTTTATTGTGCTCGGTCTATTTGAAAGCCTATTCGTAACGAATAAAAGAAATATAGCTATTGAGGCCAATTAGCAGGAAATAATATTAAATTCCTTTTTTATTATCCAACAAGCAACTATTTTTACATTGCTAATCCCGTAAAAACAATCCGGCATCTCCTTTGTTTATTCCTTGCTTTATCTATGGATGCTTGTTGTTGATATCGATTCATATTCTTGATGAGTTTGTGAAAATTTTTTATTTAAATTCACTTATCGCACAATATCACCGCTATATATTAATATAACAATCATAACATAGCGTGAATAAATATTATTTTTCTGTTCTTCCCTATTACGAAACTGTTGTTAATCTTTTTGATCTGGCAAGACTACGTACTTCCCTCAATACATCATCTAAATAGCGATTGTCAAAAAAGACAATCGAAAATAAAAGAAAACAATAAGAAAAAACAAAATGAAAAATCAAATGTGAAAAATTGTAAAAACCCGCGTAATTTTAACAAATTTTATTAATTTGTTCAAGTGGAAACGTCTTAAATATTAACAATTTTATATTCTTAAAGGATACGCGGTAAAAATCAGAAATATAAAAGATTAAGTCTAACTTTTATGGTTGCCCTCCAACGCACACTTTAATTCTCGTTGAAAACGCTATGCCTGACATCTTTTTTTAACGCGAGTGTTTGTTTTTTTTTTTCTTTCAAGTCGTAGAATCAAAAAAGAACGAACTTTAAATAGTGAAATTATTTAATGTAATTATGGCCACTAGCCGAGCGACGGAAGTGTTCGATGTGGATTTATTTGAAACACGATTGGAGGCACTTAAGGACACGCAGGATGGAATACAACAAATGTCGGCGTGGTGCTTGCAGCAACGTGGACATCACAAGAAAATCGTAGCCGCCTGGTTGAACGTCTTTAAACGAGGTAGAATAGAAATAAAAAATTCCTCTTTCTTTGAAGAAAAGCGATTAAAGAAATGAAATTTTGCATTTTAGTGCGCGTAGAACATCGTTTAATATTGTTTTACTTAGCCAACGATGTTATACAGTATAGCAAACGCAAGCGTTATGAGTTCGTAGAAAGTTGGGCTACTGCTTTACAAAAGGCCACTACAATGGTTCGGTAAGCTTATCCTGGGTATGTTAGGTAAAAAGTTAAAAGTAACTTCATATACTCTTTTTGCCTTGCAGGGATGAAAAAGTTAAAAATAAAATATTACGCATTTTCAATATTTGGGAGCAACGTGAAATCTACACTGAAGAGTATTTAAGTGATCTGTGTGGTCTACTGAATATATCGCCACCTAAGAAATCACATGTGATCATTGAGTCAGACGATTTTCAGAATAGTAATTTGGTAGCCAGTGTACGAGAATGTGTCGAACTTTCCGAGATGACCGACAAAAGTTTTAAGAAATTACCAAAAACGCCAAGTTGTGATATAAATATCATCAAGCAACAATTGAAAGATAAAAGTCATTCGGACGATGTTGAAAAGGAAATTGAACGCTATATCACTTATATTGAGGCGTTTAATAAGAATTTACAGGCTGAAATCAAGAGTCGCAAGGTCGTCCTGAACAATTTAGATACGGCCATTAAATTCTACGCCAACCAACGTGGTGAAGTTAAAGTTGTTGTTAGTGTAAGTGTTAAATAACTTTTATTATCAATTGTTTATACAGTAATCAATTTTCCACCAACCGACTTTTTTTCAAAAGGCTTACAAAAATTTTGGTAGCCGTATAAAGTTGGTCAAAAAGAAATTGGATGAGATAAGTCCTAATCTACCTAGCCCCATACCATCGCCGGACGTGAATGCTCCGTCACCAGAGCCGGATACCGATTTGCAATTACCCGATGAACAATCGCCGATCTCTATGGTAAGGAATGTAATTTCCATATTGTCCTCTGCATATTTCATTTGTGTTTTGTTTTACAATTTTAGGATTTTTTAAAAAGTAGCTTTAACGGTTATTCTAGTTACCTGGATGGTAATTTGCCCTTCGACGTTAATGATTTTAAACGTAAAGAGAATTCCTTGAAGTCTTCAAGTAAGCTATACATCATATAATTAGTAATACCTTAGAGCGTGTACACCAACGACTATATTTCTATTTTCACTGAATCATAGAAACACCATAATAATCTT